AAAAATATTTTTTATTTTTACTCAAAAGCAATTGGCAATAATTTATAAAATCGTCTGCAGTCTTTCTCTCGAATTTGTTTTGGAATTTTTGTATGTTTTAGCTCTGTGCAGCCATGAATGCTAAACGAAAAGAAACTTTGCCTGAAATTCGAAAATTAGTTATTAATTTGCATATTGAACGTGAAAAGTCTATTAGAAAAACTGCTGAAATAGTTAACATGAGTCATTCAACAGTTTTCATTATCATTAAACGATATAAAAAGAATCATATGATTCAGAATAAAAGAAGACCTGGCCGACCATCAAAGCTATCCAATGGATAAAGCGAATTATTGTTCAAAATATTTTTAAAAAATCCGAGAATGAGTGCTCCTAAAGTTGCTGCTGATTTACAAGGATTATATGGAGTAATTGTTAATCCTGAGACTATTAGAAGAGTAATTTGATCTGCTGGATATCCCGGTAGAGCAGCCAGGAAAAAATTCTTCGTAAGTGAAAAGAATAGAAAACTCAGACTGGCTTTCGAAAAATCCAACATAAATAAGAACTCTGATTACTGGAATGAAGTTATATTTGCTGATGAGAGTAAATTTAATATATTTGGTTCTGACGGTAGAATCTTGGTGTAGAGAAAACCCAGGAAAGAATTTCGCAAACAGAACTTGGTGCCAGCAGTAAGACATGGTGGAGGAGGAGTTATGGTATGGGGTGTATGTCGTCCGCTGGTGTTGGTAATCTTGTTTTTATTGACAGTATAATGGATCGGCACAAGTATGTTAACATTTTAAATCAAAATTTGAAATCTTCGGCACGAAAATTGAACCATCGTAACGATTTTAAATTCTACCAGGGACAATGACTCCAAGCACACTGCTTTGAACGTTAGAGTCTGGCTGCTGTATAAAAACTCTCCTGGAATAATAAAAACACCACCACAATCTCCAGACTTAAATCACATAGAAGAATATTTGGCAAAGAATTGGAATCAAGAATTCGCAAACACACCATTTCTTCAAAACAACAATTAAAATCATTGCTTCAAGAAGAATGGGGGTAAAAATCACTCCAGAAATCACAAAAAAAATTAGTCGAATCCATCCCAAGAAGATTAAATCACGTTTTAAAAGTAAAAGGAAATCCAACAAAATATTAAAACATTTTAAGCAGTAAAATGTAAAAATTGGATAAATATTTGATGGAAAAGTAAGTGTCCCATCACTTATGTGAGCCATTTTTTTGCTCCGTTCTAAACAATTGTATTTTTATTAAATTATTATTTTAATATTTCGAGAAAATGTATGTTATGTAAGAATTGTTACTAAATTTAAGTATGAAACACACCCACAAAAATTTTTTACTTGTTTTTTTAAATTTATTTTACTACATCCTTTCGTAAAGCACAAGTGTCCCATCACTTTTGTGAGACACTGTACTTGTACTGATCCATTATACTGTCAATAAAAACAAGATTACCAACTCCAGCGGACGACATACACCCCCATACCATAACTTCTCCTCCACCATGTTTTACTGTTGGCACCAAGTTCTGTTTGCGAAATTCTTTCTTGGGTTTTCTCTACACCAAGATTCTACCGTCAGAACCAAATACATATTAAATTTACTCTCATCAGCAATCAGCATCATTCCAGTAATCAGAGTTCTTATTTATGTTGGATTTTGCGAAAGCCAGTCTGAGTTTTCTATTCTTTTTACTTACGAAGAATTTTTTCCTGGCTGCTCTACCGTGATATCCAGCAGATCGAATTACTCTTCTAATAGTCTCAGGATTAACAATTACTCCATATAATGCTTGTAAATCAGCAGCAACTTTAGGAGCACTCATTCTTGGATTTTTTTAATATTTTGAACAATAATTCGCTTTATTCCATTGGCTAGCTTTGCTGGTCGGCCAGGTCTTCTTTTATTCTGAATCATATGATTCTTTTTATATCGTTTAATGATAATGAAAACTGTTGAATGACTCATGTTAACTGTTTCAGCAGTTTCTCTAATAGATTTTCCACGTTCAATATGCAAATTAATAACTAATTTTCGAATGTCAGGCAAATTTTCTTTTCGTTTAGCATTCATGGCTGCACAGAGCGAAAAAACACAAAAATTTAAAAAAAAAAAAAAAAAAAAAAAAAAAAAAAAAAAAAAAAAAAAAAAGAAACGAGAGAAAGACAGCAGGTGATTTTATAAATTGTTGCCAATTGCTTTTGAGTAAAAATAAAACCCCCAAAAAATATTTTTATTGTAGTACGTAGTAGTATCTAATGGTGTCCCATCACTTATGTGAGCCATTTTTTGCTCCTTTCCAAACATTTTTTTTTCTTTCCAAACAATTGTATTTTATTAAATTACTATTCTATTTTGAGAAAATGTATGTTATGCAATAATTGTTACTAAATTTAAGTATGAAACACACCCACAAAAAATTTTTACATGTTTTTTTAATTTATTTTATTACAGTTTCTTTTTTAAAGCACAAGTGTCCCATCACTTTTGTGAGACACTGTACATTACCATTATCATTATTGTGCTTTCATCAAAACCGGATTGCAAAGAAATCTGAACAGGAATATTTCAATTACAATGAATTTACACCAATTTTTCTTGTAATTAACAGAGTATAGTACTTAGATAGTTCAGCAATACTGAACGCCAGTTTTAGTGCAAAATAAATGTAGTATTAGTTAGAGAAGTAAAGAACCTTATGAAAGAAAAATTTAAAGATTGAATTCCCTTATTGTTAGCATCATATGACTACCCTCAGAAAACCAAAAGGATGTATTTTTGCCAAAACGGGCACTAGAGAAAGCATCAGTTTTATCATGTAAAATCAGAATTTGGAAAATAAAAGCGAAATTGCATGCGCTAAGTATAACTGAACACAGAAAACGTGGGACGATCAGTGCAGTCAAGAAGATTCATATTCAGTGTATAAAAAGAAAGCTTATTAAAAATACATTTCGGATAAGTATATGACTCAACCATTTACTGATCATGAATATTTTTGGTGGTATTATAGAAGATTGTATTTGTCTTGCGAAGATTGATTGGTGAATTGTACTTGTTTATATGGCAAGTCGAATTCTGTTCTTACTATTATACTCTGGAGTGCATTCTGTTTTAAACCACAGAGAGAAAATATCTTTCTGTATTGATGTCAACTGAGTATCTGAAAAATCTATTCAGTCTGATTCATACTGTAAGCGATATCAGTAGCCTAATTAAATATTTGAAATGCATGATTATCGCATATCAAATTTAAAATGAAAGTCTTTATTCCAGTTTGTACACTTTTTATTTCTTTCATTTTTTCCCTTCTGAATGCTCATTTTATATAGTCAATATTCTTAAACTTTTGCATATTTTTCATTGTAATCATATTTAATATTAGATTAATGAGTGTCCTTTAAATAAGAAATGCTAAAGAATGAAAGCAAAATTATTTAGCTTCTGGACAGATAATACTCAAAAGTATTCACAGTGTAATACGCTTAGAAAATTACTATATGAATGTGTTTTTGCCTCTCATATAATACGTTCTGAATTTTCTAAACACTATGATTTATACAGATAGCTAATAAACTTAAATGGGTTACAGTTATTTAATTTTAACAGGGTGAGATACAACTTTAGTACGTATTTAACTTAATTTTTGTATGTTTGTGTTGGGTGTGCTGCGTTAACCATGAGGCATATTATTATCGGCCAGGAGGTTGCAGCACACTCGTATATTACATTACAACCTTAACACGAGGAGAAAATTGAAATGATTATACTGAATATTTTCAATAATTTAAAAATTTCAAATATTACAGAAATATTTTAATGCCTTAAAGAGTATACTAATACCGTACTGAATCACTAAAACATTGTTATATTTACCTGTTCTCTAAAATAGGACCCCATCACACTAATCATTTAGAAAGTAATCTTGTGTTACGAGACATCCTTTTGCATTTTTAGTGAGATTAAATTCATGGCACTTTATTGTGTTACTTTCATCTATGGCGTTATATTAAATTCGCAGTGTGTCGTTACATTACACATTGCGTTTTCACAACAATGTCACAGCGTGACTACGCATAATCGTCATACTGTGACTTCACAACAATGTAATAATGTGACTTCACCTCAACGTCGCAATGTGAAGTCACATAAATGTCGCAGTGTGACATCACAAAAAGCGGACTTTAAGCCATACATAGAGCTGCTAGAGATATAGGAGCTGCTAGAGGCCTTAGCCATACCTACAACATCGTTGGGACATTGAGATTATCACTGTGTCACACCGTGATCAATGTCACAGCGACGTCATCGTGCTATTGGAGAAGTTGTTAGTTAGGAGAAGCCCTAAACACTTGAGGAATTGTGATACCTCTTACATTTACTCCTGTGTTTCACCATTTCTTCTCTCTCGGTTTGATTTAGCTACATCATTCTATAGTAAAACTGGCAATAGAACTTTTTGTGGTGTCCCTTACCTTGAGACTCTAATGCGCTTTTCGTAGGGGTCCCTTTGCTTGATGCACTAAGCATTTATTTATTTATTTTGCTTAATGCTTAATCTATCTCTGACTGTTACATTTCTCCAATGCGAATTTCCCCTTCAGTAGATTCCGTTCTTCTAATCAGTTCCAGTCATATTTAGTGCACAAACAAAATAATTTTTTTCATTGATGCTACAAGGTTCCAAATCAGTAGTTGCATTTTAAAAGGATCGCACTTGAATCATATATGAATGGAGTTTATTGAAGCTCTTATTCTCCCTGTTCTTCCTGATTCCAAAGAAATAAGTTTTTGGTAACAAACTTTGGTAATTTTTGTAACGAATTATTCATAGAAAACTTCTTATTAAAAATTTAAGATGAATAGTTAGTTTTAAAATTTATTATTTAAAAAGAAATCTATTTCTGTATTGACAGACCTTTACGTCCGTTTAACAGATTGACAGCTAAAAGTTAACCGTGATTATTCTGATTAAAGGGATCTCCGTTTGGCTGCAATTTGTTGTGTTCATTCTCTGTTGTGATCGGTAAATGCTAAAGTATTGTATAATAGATTCACGTTAAGGCCTAGTGTCTGACTGTTTCATATATAAAACATATAATCAAAATAGCAATATTACATGCATTTATCTTCATGTAGAAGCTGGAAAAAGTTGGAATATTTTGAATTTTTAACTTTTGATTAGGCTTAGCCACACCCCATTGCGGCGTTTTAGTGACTTGGATGCAATCCGCTTATTTTTAGAGGAAATATCAGAAAGGTAGCAGTAATGCATAAGTTAAATGTGGTTAAAATATTTCGTAATAACTCTTAGCTACTGTGTTTGATTTGGGTTTTAAGTATAATAAGAAAATGTGTTTACATGTATATAACCAGTGGCTCTTTACAATGATGTTAATTAGTGAATATTATTTTTTTGCTGTGTATGTCTGTAAATAAATCGTTGGTAAATAATACCATCAAATGCTTATACTTTTATATAACTTAAAATATATATTTTGTAATAATTGGCAAAATTTATTATATAAACTGAGCAGCTGAAAAACAATGTTTATAGACTTCATGGAGAAGTGTGAAAATTTCATCTCCTTTCTCTTCATAGAAATTGAATTCATTACATGACATATCTATTAAAGCGGATTTTTAATATTAAACTAAGACTACATGCATCTGCTTGCCATAAATTTTTATTAAACTGTTATACATGCTGTTACTTGACAGTTTGGTTTTTCCTGTTGCCATTAGTATGTAGATAAGAATTAAACATGACATGTTAGTTCTCCCAAAGATTTTAGCATATTAATTATCAGATGCTATTTTTAAATAAAATTCATTTTTAGAATTTTATATGAGCATTAATATGTGGTAAGAATATGCACACAAAAGTTCTGTCTTAGTGTATGTAATTAATTTATATTTTATAAAGTTTTCAACTCGTATATAAAAAATCATCGTAAAATGAATGCACAGCAATCTTATATTTTCATAAAAAATAGGGAAATTAATTGGAAGAGAAACTTGTTATAATAACATTTAAAATTCTCCCCCCCCCAAAAAAAAAAGAAAGAGGGAACTAGATTTGTGTGTTATTCAAAATCTCTACTAGTTTAAAGATTGTTTTGTTTTTCCAAAATTTTAAATGGGTTGATTAGCTGAGATTTGTACACCCTGAATTGATATTGTGAGATTTATGTACTTAATTTTGTGTAGTAAATGAAGTTTGTTAAGTGCTTTTACTCCTTACATTAACATTTAAATAAATTTTCGGTTGATCTTTGGATTATGGTAACTTGGCGATTTTTTTGCGAAAATTTGGCGAAGAACTCTGCTACAGCAACCCTCTATTTTTTTTTCGCTGCCATTGTTTATTTTCTTTTTATTTACTGAACACTTTTTCCAACAATCTACTAGCCGAATTACACTTATGCTAGAAATTTTATGTAACAAAACTGCTTAATCATGACAAATATTAACTGCAAAATTGGGGAAAAAGTGCACAATCGCAAACTCCTTGTGCGTTTTTCATTCAGAATAGCGCATACACATAAACCATTTACACGTCGACTTATTTTTACTTAAAAAAACATCCCAGAATTGCACAAAAATGGCATTGCACGCACACTCTTAACTTTTATCCATCTACACTGCTATTTTCTCATAAATTACAAAAATTTGCACGAAAATGCAAAAAATTCTGTGAATCTTTAAACTCGGTAAAAAGCACATATATGAAATTACCTGATCGCGAAAAAAAAGTATCTACCCTTTCCAAGGATGAACATTTCCACGTATAAAATAAATAAAATATCCAAAAACTTTTACCTCTAATTTATCTATTATATTATAAACGTCACCAACGAATTCATACCGCAAACATTACAAATGGGTTACAAATACTTAGTGTCAAATTATTTAAATTACTTCCATGCATGTTTACTTCAACTGAAACGTATACCAAATTCCTACAAACATAAAATTCACAAAATAACTATCATTTAATTAAAATATCACTAAACATGCACACGTCGACTTATTTTTACTTAAAAAAACATCCCAGAATTGCACAAAAATGGCATTGTGCACACTCTTCACTATATCCATGTACACTGCTTTTTTCTCATAAATTAGAAAAAATTTCACGAAAATTCATGAAAATACTCAACGTATTCTACTCAAACGTATTCCAAAATACTACAACATATAACTCACAAAATCACGATCATAAATTAAAAAACACTACTTAAAAATAAATAAGCACATACATTAAATTAATAAAAATTAGATTACAATCCTAATTACTTTAAACTTAATCATTGCTAATAACAATTTTCCAATAATATCATATTAATTTATTTACTCCTTATATTTAGAACAATGCATAAAAATAAATATCCTCAAATGATTAAAAAAATACTAACTTACCTAATCTTCAGAATCTTCATTACGTGGCACGCACACTTCCACTATTTCACACAACACACAATGAAGCTTAATACAAAATAATATAGTACTACAGTTTTCCAAATTCCCCCTTTTCGGATTAAAGAACTGTAATTCGTCCATTAATGTCACATGACATATCTCATGATCTCTCATTTCCCTCACACAAAATAATGCGTAATCGGAACTGAGTACTTCTCACATTATTACCAAAGTCCTAGGTAGTAACCTTTATCGCCTCCAAAATGTCGCCAAACTACCAGTTACCCTATTCCAAAGATCAGCCAAATTTTCTAGAAATATTTTCATTCTTCCTGTAAGCCATCTTTCTTAGTACTTCAGGTTTATGAATAATGATTTTGCCATATTTAAAAAAGCAGGTCTTATAAAAGATGAAGATAAGATAAAATCTAGGCAAAGTTTGCCAGAGAGTCAACTGAGATTTTGCTTAATTTTAAAATTTAGAACAGTACAAGTCAGATTTAATTCTAAAGAAGTACTATTTGTAAACACATTGTTTTACTACATACAGGAAAGAGCTTTGTGCATTTTTTAAAAATTTATACATTTGGAAGCTGAATTTTGCTAGTCTTAAAATTCTTGTAAATATTTATTGGTCAGAATTAATGTAACAATTAATAATTTTTATGATAATTTACAATGTTTTCTTTTATTGTACTCATTAATTCTTTACTGTGATTGCTCGTTAATACTTTACTGTGATTTTTCACGCTTTACTTGTTTATCAGATGAGTGTATTATTAGTGTTGAGTTAACTGTTTGCATGTTTTACTATAGGGACATGTGTGTTTTAGATGGGTGTTCTTAAGATGTTTTAATCCAATAAGAATATGAGAAATTTATGTATTAATTATTTAATCTGTATAATGCCAAAAATATTTGTGTCATATTTTTTAAATAAGTTGGGTACAAAACATTATATATGAAATTTTTCCAACTCTTTGAATTAACTCTGCGACTTTTAACAAACTATTAGACTTAATAATCATAAGATTATTGAAGGGAAAGTATACTCAAGTTTGTTGTTTCTGAAGTTTTGTGCTTCATGTTTCATGAAATTTAATCCTTGATATATTATGTTAGAATTATTGTTTCTGAATGACTTAAATAACATTTTTCTTTTTATAAGTAATCAAAGCTGTTTATAACTTTTACAAGATAATTTTTTTTCCTCGTTGTTTTGAACTTATTCTATTTTTGTTGTCCAAAATTGTGATAATTTTGCCTTGCAAATTCCATTATTTTGGATTTCTTTGTGTGGTAAACTACTTCCTGTAAAGTGTGTTGTTACTCTTCTAGCTATTTAATTCAGTGACACTGAAGAGTTAGAATATCAAGCACAATTATTATTTTAAAAAAATTGTATTAAAAAATACTTCATTTTATTAACTTTGTAAATATTTTGACTTAAAAAAGACTTGATCACTTTTTATCAAATTTTACTATTTGCATTTAGGTGTCCAAGTCAAAGCACTTTTATTTACACACTGAAAACCTAATAAATATAATAAAATAACAAAAGTAATACCTGCAGCCACAAGAAATGAAATGAAAAAAGAAAAGTATCAAAATTCGGTAAAATCCTAGTATACGGTGCAGCCTTTGCACGACTTTGAAAATTATCGCCAACACCAAAAATGATCCAAAGAACGTCTATATATATTATTATACACACATAGTATATGTATATACACACATAGTATATATATTATATACATAGTATATACTATGTTTAACTAAATATTTTCTTTGAATGACCCGTTAACTACTCATCGTATATGTCCCGTTTTTACTGCTCATCATAAGTCGCCAAAAGTAGTCAAATCCCGTGTGCACTGGATACTAGGATTAAACCCAAAATTCTTAAATTATATAGAAATTTGCTTACTTTACGAGAAGAAATAGAAAGAAATAGATAGTTATTTATTTACTTCACTATTAAGTATGATAGGATAGAAATGTATTATTAGAATAGAAATTTGTTTACTGCACTACTTACGAGATACAATTCAGCAACACAATTAGGTTTGATATAGTATCATCATAGGCCTTTTTGATGATAATTTTTTTATTCAGTAGACACTGTTACACTTTGGAGAGTAATAATACCATTTTCGGTTAATCTTTGGATTATGGTAACTTGGCAATTTTTTGGCAAAAATTTGGTGACCAACCCTGCTACAGCAACCTGCTAGTTTTGTTTTGGATGCCATTTTGTTTTCACGAAGTAGAGGCATTTTTTTTTTTTTTTTTTACTCAACATTTTCCCCAACAATCTGCTAGCCGAATTACGCTTATACTAGAACTTTTATGGAACAAAAATGCTTAATCATGACGAAGATTAGGTGCGAAATTGGGAGAAAGTGCAGAATCACCCACTGCTTGCTGCGTTTTTAAGAACTGCACATACACGGTATCATCCATTTACACGTCGACCTATTTTCACTTAAAAAAAATCCCAGAATTGCACAAAAATGGCATTGCACACACTCTTGACTTTATCCATGTACACTGCTAAAGTCTTAGCTAGTAACCTTTACCAAAATGTCGCCAAACTACCTGTTACCATATTCCAAAGATTAGCCCCATTTTCCAGTAAATCTCAATCAGGCTGACAAACGATCTAATAGTTAAGCAGCCACAAAATAGCTTTATTCTGGCCTTTCCTCTAAAGCAAATAGTTCTCCTGCATTTTACCTTAATTAGTCATTAATTAGGTCATCTTGGATTCTGTTTTCACCTGTTGAATGGGTTATATAAGGCTTCGTGGTTTGCTTTTGCATAGCATAAATACAGTTT